CCTTAAAAACAGGTTCTAAAGCAAGGTCACATGGATGTGAATCTGACTCCAGTGCGACAAAAAAAACAACTAGCACTTTTTTCATGCGGATGTGGTGCTATTTGAGCCCATACAAAATGAATGGGCTCAAATATCACCGCAAAGAATCGTATGTGATTTGAACAAGAATGTGTTGCAATTCCTGTCCAAACCACATGCAGTTTCCCTCATCACTAATGTGTGAATCCAGGCTGAAGTTTCTATACCTTTATGCATAGAATGCATGAGGGTAAAAAGCCTTCACACTTTAAGCCTTAAGATAAAATATGAATTGGATATTTCAGAGATGACAATAGATAGCAGTGTTTCTCTGCAGTAGAAATATTTCTCCTGCCAAATGGATTACCCACATTCAGGGCTATTGCACATGCAATCAGCAACATTTAAAGACCATCAAGCAGTGTGTTGCATTATGTGCTCTAACTGGGACAGACCAGGAATCATACCAGAGGCAGTCTATGGGACATGACGACATTGGGGACAAGGACCTACCTGTCTCGATTCGATCCGCTCTGTGGGGGCTCTCACTGCCCTGCCCCCTACCTTCTAGGGGGCTGGAGAATATGTATAGCCCTGCTTCCCATGTGTACCCAGTTGCTCAGCAGTGCTGAGAGCAAGAAAGCAGAGAGCGAGCCCCAATTTGCAGGCAGCGTAGGCTCAAGGGCCAGCTGCTTTTGGGCCCCACAACAATGATTAAGCCTGTGGCAGCTGCTCCTTTTGCCCCATGTTAAAGATGGCCCTGGTTCTGTTTGTGATCAATATATTGATCTGTACAAATACAATACTAGTAATGGCGGTGATCAGCAGCCTATAGCGTGAGTGCAATAGTGTGTGGGCAATCTAACGCTAGCTGACTCTGGCCGGGAGTGGCCCACCTGCAGATGACATCTTCCTGGTTTCACAAGTCCAGAGCACCAGGAGCGGGTCTTAATTGCTCCACGCGCAGTTTTTGCGCTATCTGGTTAGTGCAATGTTTGTACATTCACAAGAACACAAGAGTCACGGTTATTCTTGATCATGGATTGTTTGGACACTTGCACATAAATCACTTTGCTTTACCACGTAATATGGACTGAGTTACCTAACATATGCTATTGTGCAACTTATATATCTGATTCTTCATCTGATTTTATTAATATTAGCGCTGCATACTTTTTTACATTTTACATTAGAAACAATGGCTTTGAAACAACAGAGCTCAACTCCTTGAGGACAAATGAGTGTAAGCGATCTTGTCCAGGGGCTCTGTTCATCTTTATTTTGTCTGTTTCTGGACCATATCAATTTGGTTTTTGCTGTCTTTATTTTTATAATTGTTTAAATGCCAGAGGATTGGATGTCCTCAGGATTGCAAAAAGAGAGATCATGAGAGACCTGTTTACGGAACCCTTTTCCTGAATGAACACAAAAGTCCCCAATACTAAAGGACTAGAAAACATGGAATCACTTGTGTACTATTTTATACCTTCTTGATTGAGTAAACACAGAAGTGTTCAGTACTGAGCACTTCTCTGTTCAGTAGTTAGCGCAGTGCAGCAGGGAAGAAGGGGATAAAGGATTCAAATATATATTTCTCAAATGCAAAGCACACACCAAAAAAATACCCAGAAAAGTAGTCTACCTCCACCCTTGAAGGTTAAAAATGATATATAAAACTTTTCTTTTAAATAAAGAATCCTAAATCTCAAAACACACCCCATTCGTATAAGCAAATATTCAATAAACAAATGTTCAATAAAGTCTCTTTTTTTCTTCTTTTCCACGAAAAGATTCTTTTTCTCAACACCCGTACATTCTGATGCCCATATACCTCAAAAAGAAAAAACTTTACATAGTGTCATACCTTTTTGGTAATCAAAACACACGTGCCCTTAACAGTGCACCATGCAGTACTCGTGAAAAACTCCAAAAAAAACAACACACACACAAAAAAAAAAAAAAAAGAAAAAAATATTTACTCTCTATGTGAATATCAGCATATATATATATATTTAGATCTCTGTGTCACCAAATCTATGACCAGTGAAAAATACACATATCACATCCACTATGTGAATCTGTGAAACTTATAACACTGCAACTTTGTGACACCGCACTTAATATATCAGTGATCAGACACACATCCCCAACCAAAAACGTGATCTCCAACTCATGTGTAAGATGGATAATTACCCTATATAACCAAAAACAGGGCTTGATATAAATCTCCTTAGCTGTAGAAATCCATCCAGTATTAGGTCCAATAAAGTGATTTATCTTCCATTCTCCTCATAAGAAAATCGAAGTTACATATGGTAGATTCAATAAATGACAACCTTTATTCAAAAACTTACATTACAGTAAGAGTAAGGCAGCTCCTCCTCATCGAGATGTACATGCAAACAGACTAGGGAACACTGGCCACATGTTCCCACTTCCATGATGGCCGCGATCGCACTTCCTGTCAACGTCGATGCGTCTGACGTCACGTGTTTTCTGACGCGTTTCGTCGCTTCCTGTGACTTTTTCAAAGGATACAGACGTCTGCGCATCAGCCCCTTATGTACTGCCCTTCAACCATGACTGGCGCCACAAATCGCCATCTTGGAAGCTGGAAAACGCGCCCATACCTATCTGCATGCCATCCCACTCTCACCTAATCACATAAATTATTGGGAACGATTCATCACAGATTATCCACCTCTATGTATGCCCTATCCCTGGAGTACATACAAATACTCTGATCACTGATATATTAAGTGCGGTGTCACAAAGTTGCAGTGTTATAAGTTTCACAGATTCACATAGTGGATGTGATATGTGTATTTTTCACTGGTCATAGATTTGGTGACACAGAGATCTAAAATATATATATATGCTGATATTCACATAGAGAGTAAATATATACATATATTTTTTTTTTTTGTGTGTGTGTTGTTTTTTTGGAGTGTTTCACGAGTACTGCATGGTGCACTGTTAAGGGCACGTGTGTTTTGATTACCAAAAAGGTATGACACTATGTAAAGTTTTTTCTTTTTGAGGTATATGGGCATCAGAATGTACGGGTGTTGAGAAAAAGAATCTTTTCGTGGAAAAGAAGAAAAAAAGAGACTTTATTGAACATTTGTTTATTGAATATTTGCTTATACAAGTGGGGTGTGTTTTGAGATTTAGGATTCTTTATTTAAAAGAAAAGTTTTATATGTGATAAAGGATTCAAGCCTCTGATTTTAAAATGAAACATCAGGGGTATCCTAGTATTTCCTTAAAATCCGTTTGTTACTATATTATTTAAACCAAAATTAAACCGAAATAAGCTATCCCCACTACAACAAATAGACATACAGTACATATATACACACACATTGTGCCCTACACAAATTGTGGCAATGCATATCATGTGCTGTGGTGCACAACACACTAAGGGTTGTTTCACACCAGCAGATATGCATTAGGGTGCACACAACACACTTGCTGGTGTGCCTTGCGATTGTGCACTGTGATGCATTGTTGCAGCACATTGCAGTGTTTGATTTTTTCATTTTTTCTCAAACTAGAATGTAATGTTTAAATGACATATATTCAACTATGCGTGGCAGAGCGTTGCAACATGCTGTGCATTGTAATCCTCTGTGTTGTGATAAATGTATGCCTGCCTTATTTTAATGCAATGCACACCAACACAATGCAAATACAGCACTGTTGATCAGACATTACCACAATGCATATCTGTGAAACCAATTTTCAGTATTTTAGTGTAAGTTGCTTATTTGAAGTTTTGGGTACTTTTCACTGTTTCTCAAAACTGCACAATTTAGGATTTAAAAATATTTGTTATTTATTAACTCAGTTTTATCTTTCAGATTTATGTAAGTTACGCTTTGCTTGTGCTAATAATGAATTAGCGTATTTGTATGGAAAAAAAACATTTATAAAAAATGATATACCAACTCATCAATACTGTTTTCTATGGATTCTGTGCTTTCAGAAAATGTTTGGTTTAGAAAGTTTTTTTTCCACAGATTTTAAAGGTTTTCAAAGCTGTAAGTAAAAAACAGTAAAACATCAAAAATAGTAGCGTAGAGCCCAACAATGAAAAGATTAATGGAATATTTTCACATATGACTAGTGTGTACTAAATCAGAGGAATTTTCAGGAATTATGGAAATACAATTTGTTTGAGGAGAGTTTTTCTTTAAAATAGTTTGAACTTGTAGTGCCTGGTAAAATCTAGCATTGTGATCCAAACTTAACATACAGTAAACTTCAAAAGAACCATTCAATTTTTGGAGGCATTGGTGTTACACTAACAAACATTCCAATCATCAAAATGGGGTTATTACTGTTGTATGCTTGGAAGCTGGGGGACTGGGGGCCCCACTTTGTTAACAAATGGAAGCACAAAAATCAAATAAAAGATTTTAATTTTTCTTTTCATTTGTTAATCATAATGTAAGATGTGATAAAAGAGAAACAACTAGGAATGAACATGAAAATTGGTATTTAATTAATAGACAGAATGTCAGTACACATGAAGAAAAGTGTAAGAGCATTTGTTTTTCTCAATATTAGCATACACATTTATTTTACCTTTGTACCATCTAAATTATCTTTTTTTGCCTTTAGGAGGAAACAAACATTAGCACAACTGTATATTGCCACATATATCTAACCTGTCTAAACACAGTCATTTCATTTAGATAATGTATTTTATCCAACCAGAAGCATGGGTGTCTTATCTGACATCAAGGACAACTGTGAAATATTTCCAAATGCTGCAAACGCTTCAGATATTGCTGGATTCTTCTGTGTCGGCACATTTGACTTCCCACTGCTTGACACAAACAATGGATTTGGCTAAATGAACAATCTACACACATCATGTTTATTCTCTTTATCTGGTTATACAGTATATATGGTTAGTAAATGTTGGATGATATACGGTATGTGTACATTCTGGACCAGGGGCGGACTGACAACTCATGGGGCCCCTGGGCAATAGGGGATCATGGGGCCCCTGTGTCCTTGCCCAAACTCAAAAAATCCTATGAAAAAGGTACCAGGGGAATCTCATGGGGCCCCCTACTGACCCCGGGCCCTCGGGCAGTGCCCGAGTTTCCAAATGGTCAGTCCGCCCCTGTTCTGGACTTAAGAGCATATTTATGAAGCAGCGAATCTGACATTCACCAAACATTCATGCAGGTGAGTATTCCAGGTGTAAGCCTTTTAAATGACAGTAATTAACCACTTGCCCTCCAGAGGATTTACCCCCCTTCCTGACTAGGCTAATTTGTGTGATACAGCGCTGCATTACTATAACTGACAATTGCACGGTCATGCAACGCTGCACCCAAATTAAATTTATGTCCTTTTTCCCACAAATGGGGCTTTCTTTCTGTGGTATTTGATGACCTCTGCATTTTTAATTGCGCAATAAACAAAAAAAGATCAACAACTTTGAGAAAAAAAAAGTTTTTTACTTTTTGCTATTAAACATGTTCAGTAAAAAAAATTTAAAAATCAAATTTTGTAATAAATTTAGGCCAAAATGTATGTGTTTGCTAAAAAAAAAAAAAAAATCCCAATATGTGTAAATTAATTGGTTTACGTGAAAGTTATAGCATTTACAAATGGCTTGTATATATTCTGAAATTTTTAATACGAGGACAATTTTTAATACTAGCAATGGCGGCAATCAGCGACTTATAGTGGGACTGCGTCGGGCATTCTGACACTGACTAACTGCCACTGACATTCCCAGTGACACTAATACAGTGATCAGTGCTAATAAAAAGCACTGACACTGTACTAATAACACTGGGCAGGAACGGGTTCACATCTGGGATGATCAAAGGGTTAACTGTGTGCTGTGTGCTGTCTTACAGTGTGCTGTGTGTGTTTTTTTACAGTGTAAGCATGCTGCTTTGTATTGCTCTGCTCTGCAGAGTAATACAAAGTAGCATGCTGAAGCTGACAGGGGAGAGATCTGTATTGTTTACATACAGACCTCTTCCCTGTCAGTGATACTCGACGATTGCCAGGTGCCAGCAAGGAATCACCAGCCGGAACCCGGTGATCGACAGCTTAAGCCACCAATGGTGGATATATATGGATATATACGTGATTTTGCACAGCTGTGCCGCCCTGTATTTCTGGTATAGGGAGGTGGTCAAGCAGTTAATTCATCACTAGTAAATGTTTTGTAAAAGTCACTTTCATTGCTTTACAAATACCCACTGTGGGCTTTGGATATGAAGTCAGATTTATATACCAGCAACAGCAGTGGCTAGTTTCCCTTCACAATGAGGATACTATGAAGACTGTTAAATAGATCAGGTAGATTGCTTTACATTGGCCATACATTATGCAATTTTCTTTCCTTCAACCACAGGTGAGGTAGACTGGTCATTTCAATTTTGATTTGGGGGTTTACAACCACTTTAATATGAGAATGCTCCAAATGTTTCCCTAATCAACATTTTTTAGCACACAGCTTTCTTACTATCCTGAAATTCCAAATACCTGCTGACATTCTGGTGCCTTCTTTTGTCTTATATGACAAACAGCTAACATACAGTGGAGTCATTAGCAAGATAATATACCATCAGCTATGTCAGTGGGACTGAGTTACTACAGGAGTAGAGACTGTTAAATGAAAAAAATATTTTGTACTGTGCAAAGTGAATGTTTACCGAGATAAATAAACAAGAGAAAACTGAGAAAACCAATCAGATGCTAGCACACATTTTTTTTTTATTTCTCTTACCAGTAGTTTGCAAAATACACTTTTTTAGTAAATCACCCCCAATATTTGTATAGGTGGATACATTTAAAGTAGAACTTTAGCGAGAAAATTAAGTCCTGCCTGACCACTTCAGGCTGGCTCCTTTTGCAGTTATAGCTATGCAAAATATTAAAAATAAGTTCCTATACTGTTTAACCCTTTTTTGCTGCCAGAACCATTTTTGCATTTTTTGCACGAGTTTACAAAATCATTTTAGGCCTCAAGATTACACAAAACCCCCCAAACAGTATATATTTTCTAAGAGAATAAAATAGTAATAGTTCTGTCACACGATATTACCGGAAAGGTAATATTTCAGTAAAAAGCACACTAAAGTGAATTTCAGGGTAGAAAAATGCAACAAATTACCCCAGTTTTTGGTAAAATATAAAAGATGTGGTTGCGGTGAGCAAATAGATACCCAACATGTCAAACCTTGAATTTGCATGCTCCTGTGAAATGGCAACAAACTTCAGTACTCTAATTTTCTATAGGCAACATTTTCAAAAGCCCTTTCAGGTCATCAGTTTAGTGTTACAGAGGAGGTCTTGTGTTAGAATAGGTGCTCTCACTCCAGCGTGTGCAGTGATATGTAACATATATTATGTAACGTGTATTGCAATCAACATTTTCACACGTAGGCGCCCCAGACGCCTGAGTTTTTGTACACGCGTATATGTAGGGGTGGGGGGCATCAAAAAAAAATTTTTTTGGGGGGATGTTATGTGTTTGAATTTAACTTTATTTTTTTGCAAAAAAAATTTTTTTTACTTAACTTTTTTTCACCACATAGGGGACACAAAGTCCCCTATGTGATGCTTTTCAGATGACAAGTTCGCTTTAATGATAGAAGCAGGGTCTAAAAGACCCTGCATGTTTCCTCTGGGGTCCACTGCAGTTTGCATTGCAATACATCTCAATAATAGCGTTGACCCAGAAGTGACATACACGTCGCTTTCTGGGCGTCTTTGCTTTCTTTTCCCCCTACACTCATTGGCATCGGGCCCACAGATGGGCAAGTGCAACCTGGAACACATGGGGGAGTGCACGTGGGGGGCATTACCATGGGTTGTGGAAGCAATTGGGCGGCAACGCAACCATCCGCTGCTTCCACCTGACAGGCAGCATTCTACCTGTCAGTTTTAGACACAATCCCAGTGGCTGAAGCCACTGGATTATGTGTAAAACCCTCCTCTGTCAGGTCCTTATGACATATGGACTTGGCCACAAAAAGGTTAAATCCAGTAATACACTGTCTCACACTTTTCTGCACATGCTCAGTTACTCTCTTTTTTTTAGGCACTGTACAGAAAATGTAAAGTCCAATCTGCTGACAGCACAAACATTTAATGCTGCTCAGGGGCTCTGGGCTTCTGCCAAATGGCTGCTTCCAGCAAAAAGAAAGAGGAACAATACTGGAGGCAATTTACAGCACACACTCATTTCGGTAGCATAACTATTAACCACTTGCCAACTGTGCTATAGCCTAATGGCGGCTACAGCATGGTTGTACAGTACTGGGAGGGCATCTATTGATGTCTTCCTGGAACCATGTCTGCTGCGGTGCGCCCCCGGTGCTCTCTGTGATCCTTCGAACACAGCTGATCACAATACATTGTAAAGGGCCAATCATAGCGGCCGTTTACCATGTGATCAACCGTGTCCTATCACAGCATAAGGAAAGTATTGCTGATAACCGGCAAGTTCTGAAAGGAGACATCTATACTAACAATCAGGGCACTGATTTTCAGTGCAGCCCCAACAGTGTCCATCAGTTCTGCCTATTAATGCCAAACAGTTTCCATCAGTGCTGCCAGTCAGTGTCCACCAGTGCTGTGAATCAGTGCCCATCATTGCTGCCAGTCAGTACTCATCAGTGTTGCAAAACCATGCCCCTCAGTACTGCCAGTCAGTGCCACCTATCAGTTCCAGCTATCAGTGCCCGCTATCAGTGTCCTTCAGTGCTGCCTATCAGTGCCTTTCAGTGATGCCTATATGTGCACTTCAGTGCTGCCTATTAGTGCCCTTCAGTGCTGCCCATTAGTGCACATCAGTGCTGCCTACCAGTGCCCATCATTGCCACCTATCAGTGCCGCATATCAGTGCAGACTCATTATTGCCACCTCATCAGTGCCCATCAGTGCAACCTATCAGTGCCCATCAGTGCAGCCTCATCAGCTCACATCAGTGATGGAGAAAAATTACCTGGTTGCAAAATTTTTGTTCTATTTTCGTTTGTTTAGAAAAAAATTAAACACCCAGTGGTGATTAAATACCACCAAAAGAAAGCTCTATTTGTTTGAAAAAAATGATAAAAATGTAATTTGGGTACAGTCTTGCATGACCATGCAATTGTCCTTTAAAGTGTGACAGTATTGAAAGCTGAAAATTGGTCTGGGCAGGAAGCGGGTAAAAGTGTCTCCAGTAAGTAAGTAATTAATAATGTGGAATGTATGTTCCTTGCTAAAGAACATTTTTTTTTTTTTAAGTTGTTATGGGTAAAGTTCCACTTTAATTTTGTAAATGCTAATGCTTGTGAATGCTAATGCTAATACTTCATAATGCAGCATGTTTCAGTATTAGTAGCTCTTTACGATATACTTTTTTTGTTCTTGTCTAAATTTTAAGGATTTCTTTGATGAAGGGCAAGTGATATTGTAGGGAAATATATTGAACTAACGACGCTGTATAAATGGACTTAATACATTTAAGCATCAGAATTTATGTCCATGACAACCCTAATGATTTTTACTGGCAAGAACATTCATTTTTAAAGATTAATTAAATTGAGGACTATTGTGGCAGCCTGAAGCATTCAAAAATGCTAAAACCAAATATCACATTTGCTAAAATTTAATAGTACATTTGTGATAAGTAGAAAAAGTAAAATGTGATGAGTAGAAGAAGTAGAATGTGATGAGTGGGTTTGAGAAATGACAGGGAACAATATTTCACATGTCAAAATTCACAATGTCAGCTTTCTCCTACATCTGTCTTCTTTAAGAATCTGGAGAGATACTGAAAACTATGTTTACTCCTTCAATGTACATAATTCTATGTCCAAGAAATATTGCATTTCTTGCCTGCATTTTAAATATTGGGCATGATTATGTACAGAAAAAAGCATTCATATGCAGCACCTATTCTGTTACAATTTTTTATTGTTTTACAAAAATTGCTGGATTAAGATATAATAATTTTCAACTACTGTTCATTTTACGAATCAGGCTACCACAATATAACGAATTTGATATTATTTTTTATTGATTATATATGTCAGCAGTACAGATATTGGCAGTATATTGAATAGTGTA